AGTTGTATCCCCACCTCGAATATATCCCCGAAAAAGCTCCGTCCCAAAGTGGGGATATAAACGAGGTAGGACTGTACGCATATTTATGTTTTCACGTGATATATATATTGGCTAAAAGCCCTACAAATAGCTATGCTATTTTTGTTGGGACTGTTCTGATGAAGTAAAAAAGTTGACCAGTGTAAAGAACACCATGGAAAAAATTTATTCAAACCTAAAAGTCGGCACAATCAGAAGAGTTTATGGTATAGGAGGGGGGAATGCCAGAGAATATTATAATTAATTTAGTAGAATTTATGAGAGACAGGTGTCGTTTATTGATTGAGAGAAGTGGCGAATAATAAATCTGTAAGTTATAACATTTCAAATGAGGTATTACACGTGTAAATTGGTGCAGCGTAATTCTATTCCAAGCTGGTAACGTTATCGTTCTGCTAAAATAATGCGTTGAGCACATTCGTTGAGGATCAGAATATTGGGAGGATATATATCCAGAATGTTAGTATAACAAGGCGCTGGTTATTATAGTTTATTGTTCGATAAACTTGTCATTTAATATTCTAGTATATTTTTATAGCAGATTTGAATGATGTAAAAAGTCATACTGGCGTACGTGTCAAGACATCGCCTCTAATAAATTATTTCATACATTCAATCAGGCAAGAACTTATAAGGATTCATGATTCCATTCGGGTCGATACTTTTTTTAAGCATTCGCATCATTTCAATCATGGGTTTGGACTTTGAATATCCGAGATAATTGGCTTTCATTAGACCCAAACCGTGTTCTTTTACATGAAAGGTTGAAGATTCATATTAGAGATAATATCCAAATCAATCTTCATATCACGCTACAAAATTACCTGCTGATATCGAGCCACGGTACTTTCCTAAACAGAATGAAACAACAACAATATTCATTATTAATACAATTGATGCAATTATAAGATTCAACTAACTCACCTGTCCACTCATAGACATATGGCTCAATAAGCTTAGTTACGTCCTCATCATATTCTTTCGCAGTAATATTCAGATGCAAATTGCCTATAGCCAAAGAAATGTCAACATAGCTCTTAATGATTCCTTCCTATCAAACCATTTTCGATTACCGACCGTCTCCTAGATGACCAAATCCGATAACATGTGTAATAGCTTTATCTTTCCCAAAAGATCCACTGTCTTCAAGCCGCTTCCTCATATCCTCGACCATCTTATACAATACAGGCACTGGTAATGATATATCGTACTTATAGACTGCTCCGGCTTTGTGGGATGCTTCAGGGATACCCTCACGGAACGACCAGAGATTATTCATCTGAGATACGTCCTGCGCAATAACACCATCTTGCACAGTTGATGCTTCCAATAGGCTCTCGAGACACGCGGTGAGTTTCTATTAGAAATCATTACTTTACGTCAGTTGAGCAAAAATAGCATCAACAGGTATGAGTGACTGACCTCATCATCGTGCTCCTTGTTGGATCCGCTCGTTTCGATGAGAACATAAAACGGATATTGGCCCAGCGGAAATTCGGATCTATTTGTTCCATACAATTGACACAGATGCAGCGCAGCAAAATCCCAGAACTCAAAGGCTATTGGAGAAAGATAATACTATCAGAATCATTCTATTGTATGTTTCAATTATGGATAAAATTTAATAAAAACCTGATAGTATTTCTGCTAAGTCTTCTTTTGATTTCAGGAATGCCTTTTGAACATCTTCGAAAGAGGACAGACCAAGTACTGCAACATTTACAGCCTGGACACAGATAATGGTGATATAGTAAAAGCGTGTGAAAGATCGTATTAAGTAATATTAACACTACCTTCGGCCTTTTTGGCGTACTAATTGAGATACCGGTAATGATACCAAGGGTTCCTTCGGAGCCAATAAACAGTTGTTTCAAATCATAACCTACACAATTTAAGTTAAGCATAGTTTGGTAAATTTGTCATCTCCACAGTCGTTAAATTTTTGGCGTACCAGTGTTATCCTTCCTCAACGTCAATAAATTATCCAATATAGTTCCATCGGGTAGAACCTGAGTATAAGTGATCAACAATATTATCCTTAAATTCATCAGCAATACACTCGCTATTAATCCAACTAAACTTACCACTTCTAATCCAAGTACTGATCCGTGTAAGGAACCATAGCGAAGAAATCTCAAACCTCCTGCATTAGTAGCAACATTTCCTCCGACTTGACAACTATAAGAGTAAACTTTTAATTTATGTACGAATGTGAATATGTCCCATATTTATTTACCTTCCTTTTGCGCCCAAATCCAATGGCATCATATATCCATTTTCAGCGAGATGATTGTCCAATACTTCCAGAACGCAGCCAGCATCACATACAAGAATTCCTATTACATATTCAACCTTTAAGATAATGTAATACATAAACAAACCAAGAGTTTTTTACAATTGCGTACCGGCAACTGGATCAAAACTTCTGATTTTGTTGAGGTGATTCGTGCTTATTACCATTTCATCAAATACTGGAATACTGCCACCTGAAAATTCAAAACGCGTCGTAAATAGTACGAGCTACATTAAAACAATTAACGTCGAACCAACCAACAAGTCCAGTATTCCCTCCTTGTGGTACGACTGCAATTCTAAATGGGATCATGTGTATGAGCCTAATGATAATGCCATCTATTCTGTAAACGCATCGATTCCATACCTCTTCTCTCCACAATATTTCAATACTTTCGCAACTTCCTCAGTAGATTTTGGTCTCACAACGACGCGAGACTTACCCCTGTATTTCCCCATCCAGTCAACATTAAAGGACGTCAAATCGCTTGAATTTGTACCATTATCAACGATGAGTGCATTTTGAGAGAGAATCGATGTCAAATAGGAAATGTCCTTATCGGTTATCTGACAAGAGAAGACAGGGTTAGAATAAGCGCGGGACAAAGAATTATTTATCGGTCGACGTCGTGAAAAACCTACTTCTTTAAAGTTAGGGTTACGTTTAATATGTGGATACTTATCAGCTGTAAAGGCAACTTTACGAACTGCTGCTAAGTAACGGCATGGCGGATGAAGCTTGAAAAGGGTAGATTTAGGCTTTGTATTAGTAAAAGAAATCGGGTTAAGTCGATTTGGGATAAATTGCCCAAATCGTCGCATCATTTGTAACAAAGGTAATTGATTCATCTAAGATTTTGGTTTTATCAGTTTGAGTCGTTTAGATCGACTCTGTTCTGGCCCATTCTGAGATTTGGCCCGTGACCTGCTCGGATGTGTACATAAAAAGCCAAGGTGTTTTGTAAAACAAACCTTGATAGAGATATTAATGGTGCTCGCAATGTTTTTCTTCAATATCTTACAAAAAAGGAATCAGCCTGTTATTACCTAATTTAGAGTTTGATTTTTATTAGTAATGAAGCGTTCCATCTAATTTATCGTCATTCCATTCTTTGAGCTAGATTGAACCATTGAGACGCTAGAAGATTGTCGATTAGCCAAATCTGTTTGTGCAAATTCTCACGATCTATTCTATCCTTATGCACCGCTATGATATGTATATGACTCCATTATTTAATAATGATATACTGTTTATCTCCAATAAATTGTCGTCCATGCGAAAATGACGTCTGTAGAGCGTAAAGCAAAGATTGGAGAAATTATTTAAAGTTGATATCTGCTTGACCGTTTGGAATCATGGGTAATTTTGAGACAGAAATCGATAGTGTACCCATTACGAAGGAACGCAGAGTTCCGAAAGATATTGACATACTTAATAATGCTGGTACTATATATGACCTGTAAAGAATATTATAATAATTTCCCCATGGTAGCTATAAAAATCGATATCTTATCATTTTCACAGGACTTCCGCGAGCAAATATTGCTGCATCCAGAGAGCGTCCAAGTGGTACTGAAGAAGGACGACCTAGGCAGAGAACTGTATAGTATATAGTCATTTGTGTCTACAAAATTGATTATATTAAGCTCACCTGATTGATGTTCACAGGTATTGCAACAGCATGTGGAATTTTTTGATAGAGATCATGATGGTATAATCAGGCCATACGACACTTATTACGGTCAGTACTCGATTTATCATACTGTCCATTGTCAGTCTCTTCACCCAAATTCACTTGTTCATTCCTCCTCGAATAGGCTTTCGAAGACTGGGATTCAATCCTCTGTTCTGTCTTACAGCTGTCTCTATAATACATCCTTCCTTTTCCTACGTCACTCAACCATCTTGGATACCTAGTTTAACTTTCAGCATCAATACAAACTATATTCACAGTGGTAAACACGGGTCTGATACTGAGAGTTATGATACTGAAGTAAGTAACGAAATGGGATTGAAGGAAGATCGTATGGGAGTCTATGAATATAGCAAGTATGGTGTATTGATTGTACATCTTATTTCTAGGGTCGGTTTGTTCCCGAGAAATTTGAAGAGATTTTCTCAAAGTACAGTCACCAGACCCAAGACGCTTTGACATTCAGGGAAATTGTAACAATGATTCGCGGTAATGCGAATATTATGGATTTCTTCGGAGTGTATGTATTAACTATTATATGGATTTTTTGTTGTTTGTTCGCGTGATTCCTTATAACCTCCGGCCAACATTAACAGATTTGCCATGGTTTTTGAATGGGGAGCATTATGGCTTTTGAGAGCACGTAACGGGCTTTTGTTGAAAGAAGATGTGAGAGCTCAGTATGACGTAAGTAAAGTCATCATGACAATGATGTGTTTGTCATCATCAACACATGGATAATAAAAGTGTTCAAACTTGATGCAAAGACGATTCACACCTCTAACTTATCTTTAGGGCTCACTCTTCTATAAGGTCGAGCAAGAAATAAAAGAGCGCAAAAGCAAAAACAGATAAATCAACTTCGCTCACACGAAGGACGACAGCCTGCTGTGAGCATTGATTGGTCACAGATAGACGATGAAAACTAAAATAGCTCGAAACACTTGAGAAATAAATGATTTAAGAAATTAACAAATGCCCGTACTCCGATGTCTGAATGCAGCTAGAATTCAGGCTTCATTGCTTATATATATTTATGTTGCCATAAATTGGGGAACCGCTTTTGATTTCACATAAACATCTTTACGTCATACATTTCACATGTCCCGACTAACGTGTATTTTAAGGTTGTCATTTTCCACAAACCGATAACAATGTCTAATCTTTCAAACATACTGTTAACACCGATTATTCTTATTAATAAAAGTATTGACACTCCATGGAGCGGTATAATCGATGAAATAAAGCAACGGACGTGGAAAGTACGATGTAGGTTCACGAGTTGCAACGTATCGATATGAGCACAGCATATAAAATTGCAAATATGTCATTATAACACGCGCTTCGTATATATATGGTTGAAATAAACGTCTTTACAGACGTTGACAATGTTCCATCAACGCCAGGTGTATGTAAAATTGTAACGTGCGGCAGTTTTCCTTCAACAATAAACAACTAATTAACCTCTATATCGATAGGATATTACATTCCCAAAGTCAAATACAACTTTTATCTGCCTAAGTTACGATCGTGGATTCGAAAAAGATGATGCAACCTACTTAATTCCCAAGGTTGCTGAGAGGTAAAATATCGTTAACGAGAGAATAGGTTTCTAACTGTGACGTACTGAATACTTGTGCATCTTTGGTTTTGAACAATAGGATAAAAGCATCTTCTAGAAAATACCGGAACGTTTTCGTTTTATTATCTCTTAAGTCTGGAAATTCTGTACCCTTATATGAGATTCAGACGCGGTAAGTGTGCGCGTAAAATAGTCGTCGATATACAGATATCCCATGCACTCTTCTAGTTCGTCTTTCGCATTTAAAGATGAGCAAAAATTCGATCACCTATTCTATCCCTTACCCTTTTGCTCAGCCTTCTCTCTTGCTCATCTGCCATGACAATACTTCCAATTCACAACCTAAAAGAAGCAATGTTGTTTTTGGAGGCGATTTACAATGCACATTTAGCTTGTAATTTGGTAGACAATGTAAGTAAGAAACTTTGACATTTAAGTTAAAATTATCTTTGCTTACATTTAATATGCAAGCAGTTGGATGATCCAACATTTTTCTTGACGACTAATCGGTGGGTTTACTTGATTTCCCAAATGTCAACTGAAAGACTCCGTTTACATGGTACTATAGTACTGTTTCAAATGCTTCCCTATTCACTTAGTAGCATAGTTCTAACAATTTTATGGATATTTCTATTCGTAATTCAGATTGTTATGTTATGCAAGAAGGGCTCCGAACAATCTATAATGTTGCTACGGCAACCGAACCACAATTGCTTGATTGCTCATTGGATAGAGAAACGGCAAAATATGTTATAAGATTCTTTGAAGAAAATCGCTTAATCTGAAAAGACTGAACGTGGTTATTTTATATCCAATTATCGATCACTTTATACATTGACTGATATTGATAGTCTGACTGGGTTATAATATTATAAAGCATACGAATACACACAACTTGTATAATTATTAACTATTAGAGTGAACGCATACTAATGGTATTAATTTTTTTTCCTAGTTAACTGAATATATACAAATAATATTGCACCGACAATCGAACTATTCCTTTCTGTCTCTAGGGTCCGCTTAATCTATCGCTATAGGCGCAACTTTAACGCTATCACGAACTTAATTTTGCAGGCGCGAGTCAACGCATTTTGTGACAGCGGGACGTAATTTCATTGACGCTCTGTATCACTTTCAAAATTGCCAGGCGTACAACTCGTTTATGTCAATAAACTGGAAAAAAAAAAGGTAAAATAATAATGTGGCTAGAGCAATTGGACAATACGTAAGGAAAGATTTTTCAATTTCGCTAGAAAAATAGCAAACCAGTTGCAGGCGCAAGGTGTTGTTGTTTCATATCGAACAAATTCAAACCCCCCACCCCCCAAAAAAAGGTGATTCTTGGCAGCTAATCCGTGCTGGCGGTCACGGTATCATTCTTTTAGATTAAAGAGGTGTCAACACTTTGCTAATTACACCAAATTGTTCAACTATTATCCTACATTCCCAAATCTTGCAGTCTCGTCAAGTTTATAAATGCTATCAATAAGCTTTTTTGCAAGAAGTTCGCATCTGCAAAGAATACACTTGATACTGTATGGATGAGCTTCAAAGAAAACATCGAGCAATGTATCGTGCTATTACAGTACTTCATAATTACCTGATCTAACAAATGATGTAATTTTTATTAAGTATTAAGTTTTTGTCAATAGCGGGCATAATTCATCTGTAAAACATTCACTATTTTGTACTAAGATATCGCAATTTACTTAACCAAGGTCACAATATTACTTCCCGTGTATTTCAGTGATGTCAGAATCCAATAAATTTAATAACTATGAAATTGCTCGATTAAACGGGTCGTCTACGTTCTGCTTGGATAATATTTTGAATCGTAAAATGTTTTATTTAAAAAGTCATATCCAAACGATTTCTATATGCAAACGAGTTTTGTCCGCTTAATAGCTTAGAAGTATTGAATTATATTCTGTTACGAACGGTGGATACTGATATGAGATTGCAAGGCCAACGGTATTAAGTAGATACCGTTCAGCAACTGATGCGTATGAAACGATAATGGTGAAGTAAAGCCGGTATTTACATCTCCTAATACTCAATATAACGGATATTGCTAGTGCAGAGGTCTTTCATGGAACCAATATACATGGTTCGTTATATCGAGTTTCACTGTGTTTGCTATGACATAGAATTAGCACTTGTTATTAACGAACGATTTTCAGGGACCCAACATATAAAATTATGTAAAACATTTACGTGCATAAACACGGTCAATGCAATATAGGGAGAGAACAAAAAAGTAGATTATGACGTGCACACGAATAACGGATCATGTGGTTTAGTCTGAAAACAAGATACTCAATTTTAGTTAAGCCATGCGAACTCTGAAGACACATTCTAACGATAGAAATAGTAGTTCCCCTATTTATCACGTAATTGACGTAATACATAAACTTTCCATATTACAAAAAAGACAAAAGCTTATTTTTTTTACAAGACTTTAGTGAGCAGGATGCATCATACTTTGTGTAAACCGTATCTTTTTTTATAACAAACTATGCTGTAGGGCTTTCGTTTTCCAAACAACCCAATGGTCTTTGTCTAGCCATATTAAGTAAGATTAAGTTGTTGGACATTCAGCACGCTTTCCTATCCCGTTTTCGGAACGTGATCCAACATCCGGTGAGGCATCTGATGATCAGGCTAATTTCGCTACTCGAGAAAAAATAAAATAAGTATTTAAATTTGGTTGGATCTACAGCGAAAAATTCCCGATTTAAGTTTAATACTAATTTGTTTGCCGGCGACAACACGTCGAGAAAAAAAGCTAACCAGTCGTTTAAAAGGGCGCGCTCTTGCAACCTCAATCAGAAATTAAATCCTACAGTATCTATCACTGTTACTGTGATCGGTTGTTCAATCGGTTGTATACAAATCTTACCTGAAAAATTGCGTGTGGCGTTAGTTGCTTTTCCGCATACATATTACACTTTCTTTTTTCGTGCGACAGAAAATGATACACGACATGTGCTTAACTGCAATAATTGATCCGAAAGTAGCATCAATGAGGTTTCCTTTAAAAGGTCAATAACATGAATTTGAATTTTATTGGTCAATTCCTCTGTACTATATAAGTATATAAACACATTGTCCAAAGCTCTGCTGCAAACATCGAGTTACAATGTTCCAGCGTACACCAGCCCGCTTTTTGCGTATAGCTGTCGGCTTGACGATTACAGGTTTTTTGGTTTGCTATGCCATGACCTTTTTCGAAGATAGACAAATTTTCTTGAGGACAAAATACATAGATCCTCACGCGGATCCCAGCTTGTTTGCCAACACCCCCGAACGATTAAAAGCTGCAATCGTTATACTGGTCAGAAACAGCGAACTAGACCAATTGTTGCTTACTCTTAAGCAGTTTGAAGATCGCTGGAACAGGAAATACAATTATCCTTATGTCTATCTAAATGATGTACCTTTCACTGAAGAATTTATAGAAAAAACTTCTGCCATGACAATGGCTAAAACTTATCACGGTAAGAATATGCTCGCTATTAATTCTGTCGCATCTATAGATTCAGGTAGCTTCCGACTGCAAATTCTACTATGCTCTAGAATGAAACTTTATATCTTCCCAGATGGCATCGCGTTCCCAAATGGTCACGTATCGAAGAGGAGGCGGGCCAAAAAATTCATGATAAATAAAAAACTTTGCACATCTCAAAAAAGCAGGATGTTGACTGTTTGATGGTCGTCCCTTCGTCAACTAAACTAACAACAGAGAATGGCAAAGTAGTTAATATAATGATTCTGTGTAAATAAAGTGTTTTATTTTCCAAGACTATTATATATTTAGTGTTTGGAGGTCGACTCTACGTTTTCCTTAATATTAACAGATTGAAAGTAACCTTTTACTATTAAACGTTCCAAATTGAATTTCCATTTCACAATTGTTATTCCCATAATAATACAACGCGGAAGATAGCAACAATAGTAAGATTGACTTACAATCTGTTAGAAATTCGAACTTAAAATATTTGGCATACAATTACAGCGCTTGGTCGATGGACAAACGAAATACTTTATTTACACAAAGTCTAGAAACGGAGACGAGACAAGATTTATATTCGTATTCTTTATGTGGATTTTTTTTCTTTTCTGCAGTTGGACAAACTGCAATTAAATTGTTTGTCTGGCACGCACTATCAATTAGGAAACGTGTCATTACTTGAGTGCGACTGGGATTTTGATCCGTGATGGAATCTGTCATTCACCTGCAGTCGGAAACTGTTGCCGAATCTATAATGTATTCCGTTATCAAGCTATTCGCATTACTCATCTTTTCTCGATTTGTAGCCACAATTCCCAAGGAGATGTGGAGCTATCCTTCATGGATTAACCAGACAAAAGCGGAAACCACACGTGTGCAGATGGAACTCGATAATGTACCATACGGAGGATTAGAATCGTATTACCACATGTGTCGTTTTAATTCTGGATTTT